TAATAATAATAATAAATAACGTACTAGTTTACTGTATATATATATATATATTAGTATATATATATATATATATATATAGATTCAAAGTACGCAAAGTATAATTCACCCACGGTATGCTTTCAGAATATTCAACGAAAAACACAAACATGCATATTGATATATGTTTTTCTTTAAGCTCTCTCACACACATACACCCACACCCACATATATATATATATTCAGTAAACACACCTCCCACCACAACAGACTTGTTCTTCACATCCACAACTGTGACCTCTCCATCGTCCGTATCGAGTACTCCTTTGAACGAGATCATAGCACTCTCGCCATCCTTTGGCTTGAGGTAGCCACCACCCTTGGAGATGTCCTTGTACATAACACCTTTGTTATTCTTCTTCCCCGCTAGATTCTCTCCTTGAAACTACAGGGCATAACCAGGGCGATCAGAAGGATAAAGGTAAGCTATGGGTTGGTATCACAAAACATAGGGGATGAGAATGTGTACTACAGCGAACCGTCTCAATGCCAAATACGCCCGGTTGGATGCTAGTGGCACGTGCAGCCTACTGGTGAAAGGTCTTATGTTGCTATTAGCACACAGGTATAGATGTGACAGTGACAAACATTTTCGGTAGGTAGATTACACGTTCGCACAAGGTCAGCCTCAGCCTAGGAGAGAGTGCTGAGGTGTCTGCAACGTTAAAGGCTGCGCTGTTCAAATCCTGTCACCATCTTGTGCATGCAGATACAAATACGAGCCTTGACTATAAAGTACCCGCAGGAGACGCGCACGCACCTAGTCCCTCTCCAACGATACACATCCAGAACAACACACGTAGGTAATCCCCCACAAACAGAGCGTTTCACACCGTTTAACACTAGTTAACTAGACCCATTTGCAGACCCATTGTACATGTGAGGTGACAGGGGCCCTATAGAACAGTTGGTGCGGCCACACATCCTTACCCACTCGAACAGCTCGATCTCAAACTTGACCACAGAGTTAATGGGAATGTTCTCTGACGGAGACGTGTCGCCATAGGCGTACTCGGGTTGGAGGGTGAACAACGCCTTCTCGCCCAGCTTCATAGTAGGTACACCCAACTCCCAGCCTGGGGGGGATGCAGGTGTAGTGAGGGACATATGAGCGGAACCCTGGACGAGTATCTTAAGATAATTGGGGTTTTGTGCGCATGTCCACACTTAGATTTAGTACATATACAGACATAATATATTGTACTGTATCAGGTACAGGTTGGAGACTGAGCGGCGCCTTCTCACCCAACTCCATAGCAAGATAGTAAAAAGAATAAACCACCCAAAGCAGGTTAGTATAAACAATACATCATCCCCAGCAGGTAAGTATAAGCAACACACCATCCATAACCAAAACACGCACGGGGGGTACATACCCTGTATCACCTTTCCCTCACCCACTATGAAACTGAACTTCTGGTTCCGTTTCCTGCTGCTGTCCACAAACGAGCCATCGGCCAGAGTGCCGTCGTAGTGCACAACCACAGTGTCTTCGTTCTGTGGTTTGCGAGTGCCTGTACCGGCTGTAATGATAGTCTGCAGGGTAGGTAGACCGTGTGGGAATTGTTGGTGAGTGGTATGAGTAGAAATAGAGAAGATGAGGTTTTTAGTATGTGTTTCTTTGTATGAAGAGGAAGGAATTCTATGTCTACTCAGGAAAGATATATGAATGTATAGAGAAGTCTACAAACACAAACGAAAAGTTTTAGTTTAGATGCATGCATGCATACACACACATAACACAAACACAAACACACACACGCACACACACATATAAATATATAAATAAATAAATATATATATATATATATATATATATATATCCATGTATAAAATAATACGTATACATACAAACACTACACAAACAAATATACAAAATACATAAGCACACCCACATTCAACCACACAAAAACATATGCAACACATACACACAAAAGTACACACACACACACACATATATATATATTCATTGACAC